CTGTATGGGAAGCTTTACAAAATTTGAAACATTAGTGGTTTATGTTATAATAAACCTTTAGGTTAAGTTGTCGCAAGCAGGTTTTACTTGTGTTTCTTGTGAATTTGGTCTTAAATTTTTATTTCAAGTGGCATTAAAAAGTCTTGAATTTAAATTGCCTTATGCTGTATGAACGCTGGCTAAAAACACCTGCATTTAGTATTGACACTATTCTAAATTAGTATTGTATCCAGATACATTTTTTGAGTATTGATACTTTTGACAACCCTCATCTATACTGTCAGCTCATTTGAAGGTACCACAGCTTAGTTGTATCACACTTTCTGGGGACTTCATAGCAAAGAAGTGAACACTTATTTAAATACTTTTCTTTTCTAAACAATTTTACTCTTTAAGACACATGATATGAAATGACAAATTGGAAAACAATTGCATCATAGCGCTGACTGTACATTTAGATAGATGTTGCCCACAGCATAATGCTGCCACTCCCATATTCCACAGTATTACCGGTGTACTCAGAGTTATGTGCAGTGTTGTTTTTTCATTATTAATACCATTTTACATGTAGGTCAAAGTTCATTTATCATCTCACCTGACCAGATGCCTTCCACGTGTTGTTGCCCCCCCTCATGGTGCAGTAAACATTAAACCTGATGTCTTACAACTTCCAGTGTATCTGTGAAGTTATTCCCACCTGAGCCGTGGATCTCTGCTGCTCCTCCGGAGTCACTGTAGCCTTCATGGCTGCTTCTTTCGTCAGCGCTCTCCTTGTTCAGCCTATCAGTATTTTTCAGATTAAGGATTAGATGGCCTACATGCGTTTGGGGTTTTGTTTTATGACCAGAGATCCAGAAAGCTGTTGTAGGCCCTGGATTTGTCAGTTTAGGGGAATACAAATACATACCACACTTTCTATAAGAAATCTTAAGCTTGAAGCATTTCCTTTCACAGTTGTTCACTTCCTGTTTTTGGACTATCACTTACAAAAGGAACACAATATCCTCAAATCTTTACTAATGGGACATAATTTAGTGCAAGTTTTTGGGGTATGAATGCATAAAACACACGCTGAGAGTCGGACAATTGTTTTCCTAAAGGTCTCTGAAATAATTACGCAGCTATTGGTACTTTGATGATCCAAATGATGCCAACAGAACTAATTTAATAGTGTATGTAGTAAATGTTTAATATTTACTCTTATTTTAATGACGGTTTCTATAGAAAGCAATCATCTGTCTGGAAATCTGCCTCCTGTCAACTTCAGCACTGTTGGTCAACTTGGGGAAACGGAAAACATGCAGACATTAGATGTTTGATTTTTCCATGCAGCCCCTTTAATAATCAATTTTTTTCCCCCATTAGCTGCGTGATACCAAGTCAGCTGATCTGAAGCAGACATTGCTCCATTTCCTCGCTGATGTGTGCCAGGAGCAATATCCTGATGTCATGAAATTTACTGACGAGCTCATCCATGTGGAAAAGGCCAGCAGAGGTATGTCAGACATTTAGCCTTCATTCTAGTCCAGCTCAAACACCTGTCTATCCATTTCTCCTGGTTTTTACTATTTTTAACTGTACAATTATTTATATGCTTACAGGATCTGTAAATTATTATATTATTTTAGCCTGCATTTATTAAATTAAATAATATCTTGACATTTAAAAATGCCATTAAATGGGTTCCCTGACTGAGTTGCTGTAAACCCCAGTCCTAAATGTATTTTGTACATACAAAGTTCTTATGTATTTGTGTTTGTTTGCTGTATGTCATTATTTCTAATGGCATCTGACATGTGGTTATATTACACACTTAACAATTTTGTCTTTCCTGCAGTTTCTGCAGAGACAATTCAGAAGAATTTGGATCAGATGGGGCGACAGATCAAAACCTTGGAGAAAGATCTGCAAACTTTTCCTCCTGCACAAAATGAAAATGACCAGTTTGTGGAAAAGATGACTATATCCTTTAAGTCTGTCTAATATAAAACCTGTTTTCTTTTTTTATTTTCTATATATATATTTTTTTTTAAACTCTCAGCTTCGTAGGTTTTATTTGCCTTAACGACACGTTTTCACAGTTTTGTTAGCCATGCTCAAGAACAGTATGAGAAGCTGGATATGCTGCATAAAAACATGGAGAAAGAATACGCAGATCTGGGAGAATTCTTTGTCTTTGACCCGAGGAAAATCTCAGTGGAGGAATTCTTTGGAGACCTCAGCAACTTCAAAAACATGTTCCAGGTGTGTGCTTGTTAAAGAAAACTGATTATTGTAGTTTAAAGAAAGATTTAGTGTAAAATATTGCAAAATAAAGTTTGGTGAAATGTTTAGTAGAATCAAGAAAAAAGTTGCATTTCTTTAAAGAAGCAAAATTAAACCATTGCTGTTTATACTGTGTTTGATAGGAAATTAGCCACTGGGATGGTTAACTTTTTTTTTACATCTTACAGGATAAAACAGCAGTCTCTGCTTTGAAACTTTTGTTCTTCCCTCACACTCATTTCCGTCTTTTTTAAGACTTGCTCTGCCTTATGTAGTTTTGCCATCCTTTGTCTTTCTTCCTCCTGCAGCAAGCGGTGAAAGAAAACCAGAAGAGGAAGGAAGCTGAGGAGAAGATCAAGAGGGCCAAGCTGGCTAGAGAAAAAGCAGAGAAGGAGAAAGAGGAGAAGCTGAAAAGAAGCAAAGTTCTGGATATGAACACAGGTCATAATTGCATGGTCCTTTTTTTTATTTTCTTTATCTGTGTGTGACTGAGAAGGCACCAAATCCACATCTATCACTTCTCTCACATTCCAGTTGGGGGCAGTCAGAGTCCACACTTCTGTGGAAAATGTTTGTGTGTCTGTGTGTGAGTGTTGATGCATAAGGCCTGCAGTATTTATAGACCAGACTTAATCTACTGTTGATGACTTGTTTGGAAGCGACTAACAATGAAGCTTCAGATAAAGTGAGGACACAGAGGTGCATGGAAGTAAAAGCTTGACCCCATTTTACGCCTCTGAAGTTTTTTTTTTTTTTTTCTTTCATAAAAGAAGAATGGATAAAAAACTAAACTTTAATCTCTTTATCAGCAAATCCATATTTCCAGTCTTCTATTTGAAGCTAAAAACGCTCTGAGCGGATTGTAATACAAACCAGCGCTCTCTCATCCCTGTATGCACAGAGTTAGAGCTCAAATCCTGCCTTGCAGACACACAGACATGCAGAGTTTTTCTCCCTCTGTCAGACTCTGACCTACTTTTAGTGCATTCCTCCTCTCTGTTCCTCCATCTGGGTTCTCCAGAGACTCTGCTGCTCTAGGGTCAAACTTTTCTACAGCCTCACTGGGTTTCTACTAGTGATTGAGTCTGTTTATTTTTGCCTCTGTGCTTTAAAAAAACAAAACACTGCTGGTTAAAATCTGTGGCTTTCTTTAGTATTCATTGCTCCAGCAAAGTTCCTGGCCTTTGTCCTACTCACCCATGTCCCAGCTGGCATCTCCTCTTCTTTTTTTTCTTCCTCCCACTTATCTATCATTTATGCAAAGGGCACTTTAAAAGAAAAGAAACCCAGCTGGCTCCTCTTGGGGTATTTTGTAACAGTGTTGAAAAGTTTGAAGCATCTGTAAGGGGGATTTAATTTCATGTTTAACCTCTGGACAATAGTAACATAATCGAACCTCAAAGATGAGCATGAGTGTGTGTTTGAGAGTGAGGGATCATTTGCATACAGGTGGCACATTTGACTGCCCCTGCAGACTGGAGTCGTTGAACAACCCCCATATTTACATTGAACTATACACAAATCAAACTGATGTTCACACACCTGCTCTTGTTTTGCATTTATTGCCCTCATAAGGAAATTGGTGGACAAAGTTTCCTCTCTGCCACTCAGTCTCCTCTCATATTCAGTCTCTTAAAGCTTCTGTCATTTTTTTCTTTTTAAAGGTCTGTGTAAATGCCAAGTCCCAGTTGCCTGTTAAACCCTGGAAATGTCAGTGTGTGTTTGCTGTTTGTGGTTTCATTCCTGTGTGTGTCAGTCAGTATGCACATGTTTAACCACATAATTATGGTTACTATAGATTGCTGTGAATAGCTCATTTTTCAGGGTTTCTGTGAGGGATATAACTCCCCATATAAGAATGATCTGATCATGTGCTTGGACTTGCTGTCCATGAAATCTGAGGGTTCTGAATAATGAACAGGCTGAGGAGTTTGATGCCACACCCAGAGGATCACTTTCACCATCGCTGCCTCAAATCTGATATTTGCTCTGATTAAATCTGACAGCTGCTGTACCTTCTTTTTCCAGCTAGATGTCGGCAGTGCCTGCAGAAGGCATGTTCTCATAAAGGGTGTGTGCTTTGAACAGATTGCTGGTGTGGGAACCGCCGCTAGTAGTGCTCTTACTCCACACAAAGAGAAGGCAAAGCGGCTTGTAAGTGTGTAGGGGAGGGGATGGAGCAGAGGAGAGCAGCAGATGCTTCACTGCGGATTAGGCTGTGTGTCGTCTCTTAGAAAGGAGGGTAAGATGAGGAGAGGAGAAAAGCAAAGCATGGGATAAGCCTGGATTCTCACTGGGGTACTGTGAAAAAGGGGTTCTCTTTTAGCACATTAAAAAAAGAAAGATCCTGTCTCCATCTCTCGCTCTTTCCTGCTTCTCATTAAATGCTCTCAGCATCGACCGTGTGAACATCCGCTAGAGGTGCTGTTGCTCCAAAGAAGATACCGTGCAGTCTGTCTGTGTGTGGGAGGGGAATGGGGGTGTATATGCTGTTCACAGACACGCCTCTGTGGGTGTGTGTGTGTGTGTGTGTGTGCTTTAGCAGTTTAGATCCAGATAGACAGCTTTGGAAGCTCATCCTCTAATGCTATTGCTCTAATTAATCCTTCTTACTGTATTTTCTGTTTGTTTCAGGCTGTGGGTTGTTAATGTATGAGGAGCCAGCTTGTTTCTAACACATTAAAATAGAGGATTTAACATGATTTCATTTGACCACTTTGATTTCAGACACCCAGTAAAAAAAAAAAAAAAGGTTTTAAACATTTATGCATTTCCACATAATCCTGAAAAGTAACTGTTAAGACATTTTTACTAATGTGTCTTAATCCTGGACCTTTTTTAAACCTTTCTCCTTTTTTATTTCCAGGCAGTTAAACTTTGTATGAGTTTTTCTTTGGTTTACATGACTGCAGTGCTGCATGTGGCTGCATTTAACAGAACTGTAGGCAGCTAAAACTGCTAAAGCACTGTTTCCTGTATAATTTTAGGAGAACATGAGCTCTTTACGTCTCTTTTAGCTGGGTGTTCCCTGAAACAAAAAAAAAAAACATTTCTAGTAAACAGCTGGTTCACTGTTTGGTTCTCACTAGTAGGTCTCTGCGTCTCCACCTCTGCATTAAGCCAACCATGTGATTAGTGGAAGGAGAAATATGCCAGATGTGTTTACCCTGAAGAAGAAAAGTGCAGTTTTACTTTTTTCTTTTAGGTCTGTTGCTGCAGTTCCAGCTTTTGGACATTGAGTGGCATATGTGAGCCACGTAAGGCTCAGAGTGGGAATGCTTGTGTGAGAGAGACTCAGACATGACGGGCGTGACCAGGACCATCTGCTGCATGGCTTACTGCAGGATTAAACGCTGTGTGTTTGTGCGAGCTTGGCGTGTGCTCCATGTTTGGGGGTTGGGAAGGTGATGGCGTAAACCTTTAACCCTCAGCCCTACTGCCCCCTTTTTTTCCAGATCACTCTGTCCCTATTCAGATTTAGACATAACTGAAGCATCTGCCTGTGTGTGTCGCTGTGCCCTGATTGCTGCCTACACAGAGTGAACCTCCCACTTTTAAAGAACATCTCTGTCTGCTAATGTCCCCCACACACACTGAGGCTGAGCCACAGATCTGATGTAAACACACAGAGCCCACAACCACAGAGGGGCAGTACACATTTGTAATTTAGACCATGATTACTATATATTGTCTGAAAGTTCACCATGTAGTTTTTAGCAGATTGCTTTAATAAAATACCTAAGTAAACATAATCTTTTGTTATTAGACAGGGAAGGAGAGATTGGAGCCTTTTAATGATTTGTGTTAATAAGGCTGTGATGTTTTTATGCTTGAGGTGTAAATATGTTTCAAATGTAAACCCACTTCTGATCTATCAATGCTGACATTTTGATTGCTCTTCATTGGCAGAGGGTGATGAAACTGGTATCATGGATGGCCTGTTGGAGGCGCTGCAGTCAGGCGCTGCTTTCAGAAGGAAGAGAGGACCTCGGCAAGCAGGTACCTACACTCACAGCTGTAGATCCTCACAAGACACGGTCCTTCAGCTTCCTGCCTCACTTAAGACTCAAGTTTCATCACAGATGGACCAACCAGACATAACGTCTGAGACTTTTCCCCCTCCATTTCAATGTGTCTGCATTTGTGTTGACTTTTTTTTCTTCCACACCTTTTTCTTCCACGCCTCAGAGGCTAAAAGGGTTATTTTTATTTTGGACTTAGTGGCATAAGGCAAAGCCTCTGGCTTTAAATGTTGGAACAATAACAAAAGGGTGTAAAATACTAAGTGTGGCATCTGATAAAGGCATGGCTCAGGACAAAAAAATAAGAATCTAAATGTAGGATGAGGCATGAATAAGATGAGGGTGGGAACCTAAATGAACAAACTACCCGTGGAATACATGGCAAAAGGTTTTTTTTTCTTTTATAATGGTCTTCATATGTTTATATGTCACATTGGAAAAATACTGTTTTCTTAATTGTTCAACTTCTCTGGAGTTATTGTAGTCATCAGCTAATCATTCCTTGTAAAATTTAATTCTTGGCAATAAATAAATCTGAAAAAATTAGAATTATTTAGATAGAAGGATCCCAGAATAATAATAATTAAAAAAAAATTCAGAAAAGGACAGTTATTGACACCTAAGATGATAAAGTATGTTAACTACTGTATATGGAAGGAGGGACAGACGGACATGTTCTCTAATTCTCTAACATGGGAAAGACAAGAGAAGATGCCAGTCAACTGTCAGTTGACAGTTAATAAAAAAGTTGACAGTTTATAAAAAAATAAAAATAAATAATTATCCGAAATCTGTCCACTTTCAAAGCAATATGCTAAAAGTTGTCAGCAGGACTTATTAGGCTTAATGAAGACATGTAGAGCAGAGGTCAGGAACCCATTACCAACCTATGAACTAGAGGGGTCAGCATTCACCTAAAAACTTCATGAATAAACAGATTTTTATTCTTTAAATTTCTAATTTTCTTTTAGATATTATTTGAAATCTTTATAACAGCTTAAATGCTCGATTTTATTAATATGAAAGAATACTCTATTTGTGATTAAAGAAGAAGAGTAATAGAATAAAATAAAATTTCAAGCTTAGCCCTTAGAGTTGTTCTGTTTTAAAAAGATGCTGAGGGCCCCCATGTGGCCCTTGAGGGCCCCTTGGTGCCCGTTGGCACCGCGTTGCTGACCAATGTTGTAAATCGTGCCAACTATGACTGTGAGGATTATTTTAAAGGAGCTAAAGCAGAGGTGTCAAGTCTCCAGTCCAACACACCTTAATCAAATAATGGGGTAATCTAGACTCCATGCTGGGGAGCTAATTAATCCATCAGTTTCAGGTGTGTTGAATTAAGGACAGATCTAAAAGTCTTAGGATACTGCCAACTTTTAGATCTGATGTAGAGGAGGCCATGTAACTACAAATTGAGCATATTAATTACACAGGGTTTTGTTGTGAATAAAGGGATGTTATAGTCTGTACTTCTTTGGGTGAAAATTTTGGAATAAGCCTTTTAAACGTGTTTAATACTAAAATGATATAGATTTTCCAATAATTAAACCAGGACAAGTCATTTAGATAATCTTGGTTCCTACTAGAGGTACTTTTTGATGTATAACTTAAAATGGGGTTAGTTTATTGAGCTTCCCATTAGTGTTATGCGCGAGATGATTAAATTCAAAGCAGCAAAACATGCGGAAATGATCCATGGTTTCTGCGAATCATTAAAAATAATTACAATTCATTAATTTTTTTATTTTTTTCATTAATTTCATTAAAAAAAAAAGAATTTTCATAAATTTTTATAATTTTTTATTATTTTGTTTATTGTTCGGTTTAACAATAAACGTATACCGAACCGAAAACCGTGAACCGAACAGAACCGTGGATTTTGTGAACTGTTCCACCCCTTATATATATATATATAGAATCTTGTCATAGTGGGTTTGAAAAACAATATGGCCTCCCAGTCAGACCCTGAGTGAAATCAGCACTGAAAACACTTTGAACAACTCTGTAACACGATTCCTTGTTTCAGACTAGTTGTGAGTTAAAAAAGTCCAGTGGTTATTACCTTTGATGTGTGTGTTCATTCACATGCACATTAGTGTACACTCTGCATTTGCACATAAAGGTTGTAAAAGAGTGTGTGCAACCTGATCCATCCCTCAATAGAAGCCAGATGTTAAGCGTCGGTAGTGTAGGCCAGCTCAAAGCTAGAGGGGTGGTAGATTACACTCTCTCTTTTTTATTATTATGATCTTATTTTATAAACTTCTTTCTGATATTTTCTTTTAATCTCTGAATATATTTATAGATTGTTGTTGTCCCCCTCCAGTATGAAACCACTCTGTGGTCCTCTGTCGACCCCATTCAGGACATTCTTCTGTAATAAACACTCTTGTATTGCGTCCAAACTCACTGAGACTAAAGTGTGGGGCAAAAAGGAGGGAGAAGAGAAAAGAGAGCCAAGAAAAAATAGGGGCCCTCTCTGGGTTTCACTCATTCAGCCATAACCCTGTTTGGCCACCTTACTCTCCTTTTCAGGAAATAGCTGATCATGTTGTGAGAGAGAGAGACAAGCTCTTTTCTCTGCACATTCTGTGGTAGGAAGATCTGGAACGTTTGAGCAGTGGTTTGTGTAACAGTTACTGCTGAATGTCTCTTACCAGACTGTGTCATTTCTTTCACTCTTTCTGAGTTCAGGACTTTCCAAGGCTGCTGTTTTGACACTGAGCTGTGGTTCATTTGCAAGATGTTTATATGATCCCCAGCCATGTTTATAGGATATTTCAACTCATCCATGCCGTGTCTTTGCTGGCAGAGGGGCACAAAATCCTTCACCAACAATAAATGATAGTATTTTGTCTGGATTTTGTAACCAACACTATATATTAAACCCAGTTTTCCTCAGGATGGATCTGGACTATTTACTTCAAACCATTCTGGAAATTAGGAAAATATTTGTGTGGTTGGGACATCCTCAGCGTTGACAGCTCATCAGGGAGTAATTTTAATCAGATGCTGTATGTCATCCTTTCTAGCCTCAGTTATTGTGACACATGATATTCCGCTCTCCCTGGGGCAATAAAACCAGTAAATGATAACACTGTAATCTAAATGCTTATCCCTGCAGCTAAAAGCACTATTAATTTAATCTGTGATGGGACTTTTTCTTTGGATGATCAGATGTGACATAAAAACTTTCCAAAGACCTAATTAGACATTTCTGGATTTGAAATATCTTGGTGCTATATTCAATATGTTTTTTTTTTCCCTCAGCAATCTAAACGCATTCCCCCAATCCAAAGACAACTTCCAGAAACCTTTCAGTTTTTTAATTCCCTAAATGGTTAAGCCAATGTTTTGGAATTACTCCCATATATTATTGACTTCCTGTAGCCCCACAGGGAACAATCCTAGTCTCAAATCATCAGTGGGCATCCCTCCAATCATCTGTTTTNAATATTTTTTGTCCGATTCATCGATTAATCGAAAAAATAATCGTCCGATTCATCGATTTTTAAAATAATCGTTAGTTGCAGCCCTAGATAAAAGTGCAACAGTGTGCAAGCATTGTGCAACGCGTTTTGTTTATGCTAACAGCAACATGACCAACATGTCTCGCTAACCCCGAAATCCCACATACTCCGTCAGCGCTCCGCCCCGCTGCGCTCCAGACCGCCTGCACAAAGCAAAGCCTACAGCCTCTGCTGTGGCTCCCGTCCGCTCCGCTCCGAGTTCCTTGAAGATCGTAGAGGGGATGCGCGAGATGATTAAATCCAAAGCAGCAAAACATGCGGAAATGATCCATGGTTTCCGCGAATCATTAAAAATAATTACAATTCATTAATTTTTTTTGATTTTTTTATTCATTTCATTTAAAAAAAAAAGAATTTTCATAAATTTTTATAATTTTTTATTATTTTGTTTATTTTTCGGTTTAACAATAAACATATACCGAACCGAACCGAAAACCGTGACCACGAAACCGTGAACCGAACAGAACCGTGGATTTTGTGAACCGTTCCACCCCTTATATATATATATAGAATCTTGTCATAGTGGGTTTGAAAAACAATATGGCCTCCCAGTCAGACCCTGAGTGAAATCAGCACTGAAAACACTTTGAACAACTCTGTAACACGATTCCTTGTTTCAGACTAGTTGTGAGTTAAAAAAGTCCAGTGGTTATTACCTTTGATGTGTGTGTTCATTCACATGCACATTAGTGTACACTCTGCATTTGCACATAAAGGTTGTAAAAGAGTGTGTGCAACCCGATCCATCCCTCAATAGAAGCCAGATGTTAAGCGTCGGTAGTGTAGGCCAGCTCAAAGCTAGAGGGGTGGTAGATTACACTCTCTCTTTTTTATTATTATGATCTTATTTTATAAACTTCTTTCTGATATTTTCTTTTAATCTCTGAATATATTTATAGATTGTTGTTGTCCCCCTCCAGTATGAAACCACTCTGTGGTCCTCTGTCGACCCCATTCAGGACATTCTTCTGTAATAAACACTCTTGTATTGCGTCCAAACTCACTGAGACTAAAGTGTGGGGCAAAAAGGAGGGAGAAGAGAAAAGAGAGCCAAGAAAAAATAGGGGCCCTCTCTGGGTTTCACTCATTCAGCCATAACCCTGTTTGGCCACCTTACTCTCCTTTTCAGGAAATAGCTGATCATGTTGTGAGAGAGAGAGACAAGCTCTTTTCTCTGCACATTCTGTGGTAGGAAGATCTGGAACGTTTGAGCAGTGGTTTGTGTAACAGTTACTGCTGAATGTCTCTTACCAGACTGTGTCATTTCTTTCACTCTTTCTGAGTTCAGGACTTTCCAAGGCTGCTGTTTTGACACTGAGCTGTGGTTCATTTGCAAGATGTTTATATGATCCCCAGCCATGTTTATAGGATATTTCAACTCATCCATGCCGTGTCTTTGCTGGCAGAGGGGCACAAAATCCTTCACCAACAATAAATGATAGTATTT